TTAAACTCTATAGAAAATTGCATGTGATATGTTTAACATGAATAGTTTTACCAAAAAAAAAGTAGTAAACAACGTGTTTGGTGTTCCTCGGAAACAAAATAATTAAACTCCATAGAAAATTATTTTAAACATTGAAATTATTTAGGAATTTTTTTAAAAATCTACAATATATGGTTAGTGAGTTGCAAGCTTTTCCTCCAAAATTTCACTACTATTTTTCTTCTATGGCACATAATGTTGCAGAAGGCGCTAGGCACTAGTCGAACGTTCGGGGGCACCTAGCACCTAGGCAATCAAGTAATTCGAGTATATATATAGTCTCCGCTTTTCTCACTCAGGATTAAGAGTTGTTAGATTGTTATAATCTCCCTGACTAGTCAAATGCATATGTTAGATGGTTAGTTGAGTACATGGTTTGAGAAATATAGAAGATGAGTAGTCGAACACACAAAAAGAAAAAACCACTCGGTCGAGTTGGGCTCCGACTCGGTCGAGTTTTAGGCGCTCGACTCGGCCGAGTTATGCGCTCAACTCGGCCGAGTTATGCTCTCAACTCGATTGAGTTTGGCACCCAACTTGACGTCTATGGGCGCCTAGTCGGCCAACTAAAATCAGCCTAGGGCTAAAATCACCTCGACCTATTAGTGCCTAGCGCCTAGTTGGTGCCTAAGCGGCCGCCTGAGTCGATTTTTATAACAATGATTGCACATGCAACTGCATAATAGACAACGAGCTTAATTTATAAGATAGAGTTTCTAACTTTATTGGTCTACTAGATACAACACGCGCATTGTGTGAATAGTCAAATGCTCAATGTATATTTTTAAATTTGTGTTTTAGAATTTATCAAAGTATCATTCGGTATCATGGCGTATATCAATGCAAGATTATCAAAGTTTTCATAAAAGTAAATATTTCAAGAATAAATAACTATGACATGTGGCTGAAATGTTGGATTAACTAGTGCAATAACAGTTGTGGAGGGAAACACCATCACTGGATAGTACCATAAGCATAGTTTTTGCAACACAAAACCCTATTAATTGGTGTGATCCATGCTTCCTCTTGTTGTCACTTTCGCCAGAAATGAATTCTTGATTTGATCTAGTCTCGTGGTGTGCTTCACTACTCTCTCGAGAATGTTTTGGAGAGTATAGATATTTTGGGAAAGATTTAGATGAATAGATCAAAAAAAAAAAAAAAAAATTCTTCTTCCTAATTTTTTAATTCTATTTTTTGTCCTAGATTATAAGTGTCATCAGTCCACTTTTAGTTTTTTTTTTTTTTCTTTTCAAAATTAGACATCCTCATTTGGTCTTAGTATTATTATGACATGACCATTTTTAGTCATCTATCAAGCAAAACCCGCATTCTGCTTCCTCCATATCATCTTCCCCGGCCTTCTTCTGGAATTTAATTTCCTCTTGGGATTCTTGATTGTTTTTCTCTGGCGAAGGATTTGAGGATTCTGTGATTGGGGCGTGGGATTCTGGGTTGGTCTCATTTTGTCTGGATTTTGATGAAGACATTGCGGCAATCATTATTGTGCGGACTATGGTCCACACAACTGTGTAAACCATAAATAAAAAGTATATTATTTGAAATTACATTATTCTATATACTATCAAATAATGTATATTTTATACACAAATAATATATTTTTAGTATATTAAAAATATACATTGTATCTAGAGAAAATATATTATTTAAATACTAAAAATATATTATTTTGTATAATGTACATTCAATATTCAAATAATATACTTTTAATATATTAAAAAGTATTTTTTTTATGGTCCACTAAATAATTGTGATCGGTTGGCTAGGGTTTGGGTTTGCAGTGGAGGAACTGTCTTCAATGGCTGCTCTTAAACCCCTATTTGTTAAACCTCAAAAGAATATTTCCTTTCATTCTTTCCAAAAGGTTGAATCCCCAATTCTAAAAAATATTTCCTTTCATGTTTGACCTTTTAAAGGAGAACGTCGGCAAATTATACTGCATTGTGGTTCAAGCATCAAATATGTATTGCAGTTTCATTTCAATACAACTACATTATCATTTTGATATAACTATAGTTTTGCTGGACAATATACACTCAAATATGTGAAATTGTTATTCAGTTTCATTTTGTATACACTGTAGTTTCATTTCAACACAACTACAGCTTCATTTCAATGCAATTGCAGTTTCATTTGATAATATAATAAAAATAATACATGATACAGTATCAGTTTAGATACACTATAGTGTCTACCGTTTTGAACCATAGTGCACAAAGCTTTGTGGACCACAATCTACAGTATAGTTGCTAGAGAACGTCTTTGCCATTGGCAACACAATGTTATGTGGACCATGACAAAAAATATATTTTTAATATACTAAATGTGTATTATTTTTGTAATGAATGTACATTATACAATATAATGTACACTCAATACAAAAGTAATGTACATCCCCTGAATATAATGTACATTATTTTTATACTGAATGTGCATTATTTTACAGTATACAAAATATGATTCACAGAATAATGATTGAAATATTTTATTATGGGCCGGAAGGCATTTGAGGGCTCATTGCATAGCCCAATTGGCAAGAGTCCATGTATATGTTTAATTATTTGCTATATCAATATTTTTATATTTTAAGAATCTAATAATTATTACATGATATTCGAACTATATAAAATTAGATATTTATTTTGCAGTTTTCTAAAAAGAAAAATGTTCTTTTTTCTTCATGATTTTTCCTTCCAAGCTTTTCCCTCATGATGTGGCGTTCATTCATTATTAGGCATCAATGCATTAGTTGACCCCACTACAAATTAAAAAATGAATTTAACTTCTTATTCTCCCAAAATGAATTTAACTATACCATGCCAATAAGATGATGCCACCTCATGAGATGAAGTAGTTTGTACCATCGTTATATCGTGGACCACGGTGCACGTGTACCGCAGTCAAAACGGCGCCGTTACAATTAACGGAACGCACATTTTTTGATGTGTTAATTACCAACTGAAACTACAGTGTATCTAAACTGACACTATAGTGTATCTAAACCGACATTGTCTTACATATTATTTTATATATTATCAAATGAAACTATAGTTATATCAAAATGATACTGTAGTTCTGGTTAAATGAAACTGCAGTTTATATAAAATGAAACTAAATAACATTTCACACATTTGAGTGTATATTGTGCAATGAAGCTGTAGCTATATCGAAATGATCATGTAGTTGTTATTTAATGAAACTATAGTGTATATAAAATAAAATTAAATAACATTTTCACATATTTGAGTGTATAAATGACGAATGAAACTGTAGTTATATCGAAATGAAACTGTAGTTGTGTTGAACTAAAACTGCAATGTATACAAAATGAAACTGAATAACAGAGTTACTTTTTGCGGAACGGCGCGAAACGAGTACCGTTTCTTTTCATTAAACAAAACGAGGTCGTTTTGAAGCTCGGTGCATACAATAATGTGTCGGGAGCTACCTATTAGCCTTTTTGGTTTAAGCCGGTCAACATTTGTTATGGGCAACTTAGGCTGTTTTATCTCATTGTGGCCCTTTGTCGGCTAAGGTCACAATGGGGAGGTAAATTATTGTGTGGACCATGGACCATATAGCTGTGTGGACCATGACTGCAATATACATTTTTAATATACTAAAAGTACATTATTTGTGTACTGGATGTACATTATTTGATAGAGTTAATACCATCTGAGATCCTCCGAGTATAGTGATTTTGCCACGTTTAGTCCTAAACTTTCAAATTGACCATCTGTGGTCCTTCGACTTTCAAATTTAACCATTCGTGGTCCAAGTTAACCACTCATGATCCTTCATCTATTAAATTTTAACCAACCATGATCGTTTTAAGAGGACCGCGACTGGTTAAATTTCAAAACTTGAAGGACCATGTGTGGTTAACTTTGACCATGAATGGTTAAATTTGAAAGTCGAAGGACTACATATGGTCAATTTGAAAGTTTAGGGCTAAACGTGGCAAAACCACTATACTCGGAGGACCTCAGATGGTATTAACTCTTATTTGATAATATATAAAAAATCATGTATTTTCAAATAATGTACTTTACGTATACAAATAATATATTAGTATATTAAAAATGTACTTTAATATATTTGTGTGGACCATGGTCCATTGAATAATGACTACTTAGTGCACACCTTCGTATAGTAACTGTGGGTTTCTCTTATCAGTTATTACTAAAAAAAAAAATCATGATTTTGATTCTTGTCAAATCCGAAAAGTAGTAATATGAATGCTTTTCCATACACTTTAGCATAGCAACGTTCAACTGCAAACATTTTCCCTCCCAATCCTCCTTCTTCTTCTCGCACTCTTCTACACACTTATTTCACTCGATAAAGAGCTCTTTACACATGCTCCTCTTCTTAAACACGCAAAACGAGCATTCTCCTTCCTCATCTTCCTCCCCTTCTTCTCCTTCTGCAATTTCGTCTTGGGATTCTTGATTTGTTCTTCTCTGCTGGAGGGCAACCCAGAACTGGAAACCCTAGAATTGTGTTTTTGCTTCTTCCAGAAAAAGCACTTCTTGCAATAGTTGGCTAGGAAATTGGATTGCATGACCAAATGTGATACAAATTACATAGTCATGCACCTCATTTGAAATTTTTAATAGTCAAGGACCAAATGTCATTAATGTATAATAGTCAAAGTGATGATATGGAAATAAATCAAAAGGAATATTGCAGTGATTTATGGAAATAAATCAAAAGGAATATTGCAGTGATTATTGAGTCCTGTAGTATTATTCTGTATAGCTAGTTTTATTTTCTTTCTTTTGTTTTATTTCCTTTCCTTTTGAATAGTATTTTGCATAGCATTACCTTCATTAAGTTCTTGTATATATTATGGGCTTCACCAGTAATGAAAATAACCTTTTCTCCTAATATTCTTCCCACGCATAATAGTCTTGTAACCATACAGTGCTGTTTTCATCATGGCATCAGAGCTTGGTGACGACAAGGCGAACAAGGTTATGCCAAAGACTTCAGATGAGAGCAGCGAAGAAATAGAAAGGGCCCATCAAGATAAGGTGACATCTCATAATGCTCCAGGAGGCATCACAGAAGGCCAATCCGGGCACTTGGATGTTATGTCACTTTATCTTTTGCATGCTTCGGACACTTCGGGGCAGATTTATGTTACTGAACTTCTTCGAGATGGAAATTACGGAGAATGGGTAAACGATATGGGAGATGCTTTGTTTGCCAAAAACAAGATCGGTTTTGTTGATGGATCCATACCCATGCCAAAACCCAATTCACCATATTTGCAGCAGTGGATGCGTTGTAATGCCATGGTTAAAGGTTGGTTAAAGAGCGCCATGGACAAAGACATTAGAAGCAGCGTAAGGTATGCCAATACTGCTAGGGACATTTGGGAGGACCTTGAAGAAAGATTTGGAAAAGGAAGTGCACCTAGAGCTTTTGAAATTAGGAGATCAGTTGTCTTGTTGAAACAAGAAAATGCTTCTGTCTCATCCTACTATGCAAAACTGAAGAGCCTTTGGGATGAGATGATGGCCATTTCGCCATTGCCAAGATGTGTTTGCAGTGGATGCACTTGCAATATTTCAAAGCAACTTGTTGATATGAAAGAAAAGGAACAATTGTATGATTTTCTCATGGGACTAGGTGAAGAATTTTCTACTGTTAAGTCACAAATTCTCAGTGCCAAACCAACACCAAGTTTGGGCCGTGCATATCACATGGTTTCCGAAGATGAGCAACATAGACAAATCTCAGCAGCACACAAACCAATGGTTGAAGCTGCAGTATTTCAAATGCAAAAGGGAGTTAGTGAAAAGGATGCCAAAGGAAGGAGGGACAGACCCATATGTGGGCATTGCAAAAAGACAGGACATACAGAAGACCAATGCTATGAAATAATAGGCTATCCTGTAAATTGGCGAAAGGGTCCACGTGACAAGAAAGGATGGCAACATGTAAACCAGAAGATAGCGCCGAAGGCTGCTCAAGTTGATATAGACATGAATCCCCTTCAAAGTCTCACTCAAGCTCAATTAACAAAACTTGCTCACTTTCTAAACACAGATGGGGACAAATTGAGGCCAGTAGAGACAAATGAAAAATCATCATGCAACATGGCTGGTAAGATCAACAGTAAAAATTTGTGGGTGATAGATTCTGGAGCCACAGACCATATTGTTTGTGATGACAGTTTGCTAAATAAATTGGAGAGCAAATATGGTGAATTCCCTGTTACTATACCAAATGGAGACAAAGTGGCAGTCAGGAGCATAGGGGGAACTAAACTCCCTAATGGGATGCAAATAAACCGTGTCTTGAACATACCTGATTTCAAATGCAATTTAGTTTCTGTTGGCAGGTTGACAAAAGACTTTGATTGTGCTCTGACTTTCTTTTCTGACTTCTGTATAATGCAGGACTTACCTTCGAGGAAACTGATTGGAGTGGGTAGGATGCATGGTGGTCTTTATTACATGGAGCCGGAATATCGTGAGGGTATGGCAATGTCTGTTAAGAGCAAAGATTCAAGTGTTTGGCATAGGAGGCTTGGGCATGCTTCTAGTATGATAATTCAAAAAATCAAGTAAGATTCTGTTACTTCTTGTGAGAATAATTTCTTTTGTGATTCATGCATATGTGCTAAACAAACTCGATTACCTTTTCCTGTTAGTGCTATTAAAACTCAATCATGTTTTGATCTCATTCATTGTGATATTTGGGGTGGTTATAACCTTCGTTTTCTGGAGCTCACTATTTCCTCACCATTGTAGATGATTTTAGTAGGGGTGTCTGGATATATTTAATGAAACACAAATCTGAAGTCAGACACCACTTAGTTTCATTTTGCAACATGGTTGTTACTCAATTCGGAAAAAGGGTTAAGACAATTCAAGCTGATAATGGTGCAGAATTCCTTTCAACTTATATGTTGGAATATTATAAAGAGCATGGTATTCTTTTACAAAGATCTTGTCCGGACACCCCACAACAGAATGGGGTCGTTGAAAGAAAGCACAGACATATCCTAGAGATAGCACGGGCGTTGCGATTTCAAGCTGGCTTGCCAATCGAGTTTTGGGGAGAATGCATCTTAACTGCAGTTTACATAATTAACAGGTTGCCTTCTAAGGTTCTCAAGCACAAAACACCTTATGAAATCTTAATGCAAAAAATACCAAATTATGATCATCTACGGGTATTTGGTTGCTTGGTGTATGCACATAACCGGAAGGGTGACAAGTTTGATGAGAGAGCAAAGCCATGCGTTTTTGTAGGATACCCCCATGGGCAGAAGGGGTATCGAGTCTATGATCCAAATGACCAGGTTTTTCACACTACGAGAGACTTGATTTTTTTTGAAGACAAGTTTCCTTATAAAAATCATGTTCTGGACTCGGAGTCACAAATTAAAAAAACATACTCACATTTAGTTGATGATGAGACTGAAGAAATCATGAAGATTGTACAAACCCAGGAAGCTGACTATAGCAGAAGAACAGAACCTAGTATGCCTGCGGTAGAAATGGATTGTGGTGAGATAAGTGAGATTATTGAAATAGTAGATGGGAATAATGTCGAGGATCGAGGGAGTGTTGAGCCTTCTATGGTCGTTCATGAAATGCAGCAGCGAAGAAGTCAACGTGAAAGACGCATGCCAAAATACTTGGAAAGTTATGAGACAACATTGCCACCCTCCATATCGCCATCACCACCTACCACTCCTTCAGTATCCTCAACGGTACATCCTATGTCACAGTATGTTTCATATAATAATTTTTCCTCTTCTCACCAAGCTTTCTTAGCAGCCATCACTAGCCATGATGAGCCAAAAACCTTCAAACAGGCAGTTAACTACAAACATTGGCGAGATGCAATGCAAAAGGAAATTGCGGCTCTAGAAGCAAATGGAACGTGGGACATTGTTGAACTTCCATCAAATAAAAGAGCCATTGATTCCAAATGGGTTTATAGAGTGAAGTTCAAGCCTAATGGAACAGTAGAACGATATAAAGCGCGGCTCGTTGCAAAGGGTTTCACACAAATAGAAGGGATCGACTTCCATGAAACATTTGCCCCCGTTGCTAAACTAGTGACCTTGAGACGTCTACTCACAGTTGCAGTAAAAAGAGGTTGGGAAATTCATCAACTTGACGTGAATAATGCATTTCTTCATGGTGACTTGCATGAGGAAATCTACATGAAATTGCCTGATGGTTTTGCAAAGCATGGTGAGACGAGAGTTTGCAAATTAAAGAAATCCTTGTATGGATTGCGACAAGCTTCACGCAACTGGCACCAAAAATTCACCAAAGCACTCATCAGTGTTGGTTTTCACCACTCCAAAGCTGACCACTCTTTGTTTTTATACAATGATGGTACAAAATTTGTTGTCGCCTTGATATATGTGGATGATGTCATTCTTGCTGGGAATGATCCTGACAAAATTCACAAGATTAAATCCTTCTTGGACTCTGGATTCGGTATTAAGGATTTGGGACCTCTAAAGTACTTCCTTGGGATTGAAGTAGCACGAACTACGCAAGGTATGGTTTTGAGCCAACGAAAATACGCGTTGGACATTCTTGGTGAAAGTGGTTTACATGGTTTCCGCCCTAGTGACTTCCCCATTGAACAAAACCATAGGTTATGGGCAGATAGTACAGGTTCTTTGGTTGATGCAGCTCACTATCGTAGATTGGTGGGACACCTCTTGTATCTCACATTTACACGTCCAGATATCACATATGCTGTTAATACTCTTAGTCAATTTGTTGCTATGCCACGACAAGAGCACATGGACGCTGCCACCCAAGTCCTGCGTTACCTTAAAGGGGCACTAGGACGAGGTTTATTACTTCCTAAAGAAGGTAGTTTGACTCTCACAGCTTATTGTGACGCTGATTGGGGAGGATGTCTTACTACGCGTCGTTCGTGCACGGGTTATTACATTTCTCTTGGAGGTGCTCCAATTTCTTGGCGAACAAAGAAACAATCTGTGGTGTCTCGGTCATCTGCAGAAGCAGAGTACAGGGCAATGGCAGTTACTGTAAGTGAGTTACTATGGTTGCGTTGGTTATTGTTTGAACTTGGTTCTCAACAAAAGCATGCAACACCTTTATTTTGTGACAACCAAGCAGCATTACATATTTCGGCAAATCCTGTTTATCATGAACGGACCAAACATGTGGAAATGGATTGCTATTTTGTTCGTGAGAGAATGCATTCCGATGAAATAGCTCCACGGAAAATACATACGAAGGTCCAACTTGCTGATTTATTCACCAAGGCGCTTGGGAAAGATAGGTTTCATCTTTTGCTTGGCAAGTTGGGCGTTGTGGATCTCCACACTCCAACTTGAGGGAGGCATGATGATATGGAAATAAATCAAAAGGAATATTGCAGTGATTTATGGAAATAAATAAAAAGGAATATTGCAGTGATTATTGAGTCCTGTAGTATTATTCTGTATAGCTAGTTTTATTTTCTTTCCTTTGTTTTATTTCCTTTCCTTTTGAATAGTATTTTGCATAGCATTACCTTCATTAAGTTCTTGTATATATTATGGGCTTCACCAGTAATGAAAATAACCTTTTCTCCTAATATTCTTCCCACGCATAATAGTCTTGTAACCATACAGTGCTGTTTTCATCACAAAGGACCAAAAGTGAAATTTATTCTGTATTTAAGGAGAAAAAGTTGTTAGGAACTATTGTAATTGGATTTTTATCATGTTGTGATTGTATTAAGGTTTTTGATACCCCAATTCTTTTATCTTTAGCTAGGCCAAAACTTAGTTCTTTCTGTTGTTGTTCAGTTGAGTTTGTTCAAGCTGACTAAACTAGAGTTAGGATAGTTGTTGTTCGAGCTGTTTCTATAGTAAAACAACAAACGCAGATGATTGAAGATCGACAGAAGTGAAGAATGAAGAGGAAATTAAACAATGAATCAAGTATTCCAGTAGTCTAAAGATTAATGAGAAGAAGACACGTCATTAGTGGAAATTATGAAATTTCCGACCACCTGAAAGTGATCTTAAATCAAGTTGATACCAAAAAGTGATCGGAAATAGCAACAAAGGTTTTTCCGGATACCAAAAGTGGTCGGAACAAGACTTCCGACTTGATTTAAGATCACTTTCAGGTGGTCGGAAATTCTATAATTTCCAGTAGTGTACTTGGCGGTTTTCCTGCCCTTAATGAAGATAGGATAAGTGCTGCAAGTTCTTTTTCAAATTTACGTCGTATTTGATCAAAAGGACAAGGAAGAAAATAAATAGTACACTGTAATATGTTGGAGTGTTGTGATAGAATTTGACACCTGTCACAACGGGAGACAACATTCATATTCGAATTTCTGAAGAATTACAAGTTTGCCATCTCCTTTATGCTATAAATAGAGGACTCTAGAGTTCTATAAAAGTAACTAGGAATATTTGAGATTACAATGAAAAGCCTGAGAACTTTTAGAAGGATTTAAGTGCAAGATAGAGACGGAGTTTCACTGACAAATCGATCTAGAAGCAACTTAGAGCTACTAGTGAACACTTACTTTAACATCCGCCCATTTGTGAAAACAAACAAATCAATCCAATCTTTGTGTAGGTGTTGGAGGTTTTTCTGCTCATGGCGACTTAGTGGCTGACCTTTGGAGTAGAGAACTAGGTGTTGAAGATCGTTGGAGGGGACATCAAGATCGAAAGAGCATCACCTATGCTAGCAGTGCTTTGTTGATACACTGTGTAGGTTTCCACTTGTATTTACACATAATATTAGTAGAACCTCCTTGAACAATAAGGAGAAGAGTGGAGTAGGCAGATTTTGAACCACTATAAAAATCTTTGTCTCTATCTCTTTAATTTCTACACTTTACATTCCCCGTGCTTTACTTTGCTTATCTAGCTGATTGAATCAGTGACACATGTTGGAAAAAATAGCTTAAAATAGCATAAAATGGCTATTTTGTGGTACAATTATTAGTGGGGTCCACTTCCGAGGCCGAGATGATAGCGCACCTCGTTCTCTCATCTCCTGTTGCGATCATTGGGTTTTAATTCAGCTGTTACGGAGTTAATCTTGTATTAATTCCAATTTTAAATTTTGAATTAAAACTCAAGTTATAGTGGCGGCGGTGACGGTGCGTTCAGAAGAGTGAGTCGACATAATTGATCGGTAGGGGAGGATACGGGGAAACCAAACACTAGGCGGATACCAGATGAGAGAACAAGATAATCGATCAACTGAATCAGATACAAGAGAGAGTCCTAATGCAAGTAGAATACCTAATTGACTCCTACACTATAGGCTATCTAAAAACATGACTAAGTATAGCCACATAAATATATTAATACTCTAACAAATGGGTTGCTGTTACAGGAGTTAGAAGGTTGCTTTTAAATGCCATATATAATGAAGCTATTCACTCCTTCACCCCTATATAAGAAAGAGTAGGGTCAACAGAATTTTTTACTACGAAAAATTATATTGTTTTAGCTCTCAAAACTCTCTGCTTCTACTCCTTTCTTAGCCTAGTGTGTTCAAAGCCTTGCTCTAGTTCTCTGGGTTCAAAGTTTGGGTGCTCAAACGATTGA